AAAATAAATATTTATTTAATAAAATAAATTTCGATTAGATTTCAGAATGTAATTTAGAATACCTAAAACAGGGATAAGCTCTAGACTCTAATTAGAATTCACTGCGATAAGGGTTTTCTGATTAATTAAATAAATTCAATTAAATAATGGCTGTTCATCTTCAATTTTTATATAGCTGTGAGTCCCAGTGATTGTCTAAGCCAAGCTAAATATGCTCTACGAAATAACTTTATAATAAATATAATTACTGCAGCAATATCTATAGCTAACTTAAAGATCTGCAAAGATATTCATTCAATTATTCAATCAAGGATCTTCTAAGACTATAAACGTCAGTAAAAACCCGTTTCACATTAGGCCAATCGCGATTTCAATTTACGATTCAGCACCGCCCGAAAAATGACTCAACTAAATGCGATTAGTTACAAAGCTAAATTGCTGGCCTCTGCGCTCTCCAGCTGGTTAACTATTATCTGCGCATTTCGAATTCATTCCAATTCCAAATCAAATTGCCTGCTAACCGGCGTGCTGGCTGTGCTGCATATTTAAGGAGCTTTTGTTGCGGCTTCGCCTGCTGTGGTACGTGTTAATTGCTGTAGCCTGTGGTTCGCGCCCTGCTCGGGCTCGCCAAGTGGAGTTGCTCGTGCAAATGCAATTAAAAACTGGGGAAAGCGGAGAAAAACTGCGCTAACCGCACAACGAGTGCAAAGCAAAGCGCATGACAGATAACAAATGGCTTTGCACACGAGCTCTGCAGCAGATTTGAGCGAAACGGATAGAAAGTTACAGTTACAGATGCGAAGAGTGGGATACAAGAGCAACAAGACAGATAACACTTGCCAAGCAAGACCTGCCATTCGGTTGCGTGCGCTGCAAATACAAATCTAATTTGGCCCATGCATAAAGAGAATAATTCCGGCATATAGCTGCACAAATACTAATGCGATTTGCCTGGGTCAGTTGGGTCAGCTGGGTCAGCTGGGTCAGCTGGGTCAGCGGGGGCGGTTGCAGCAGCAATTGCAATGCAGCTGGTCAGTGTGGCAATTAAATTGTGGGTGCGGTGCGAGGGGCATGCTTCCGCTTAGCCACTTGACGTGAGCCGCATGAGAAATTTTTGTCGCATTTTGCTAATCGACTTTGTGGGCTAGGGCTAAGGCGCGTGATCAAATATTTAAGTAGCTGCGGCGCACGTGGCGCATACGCATCCGTTTGCCATTTAATTAATCATACGCCACGTTTAACGCTATATTATCATCTATTTCACTTTCAGCACTTGCCAGACATTTGAACAATATTAAATTTTTAATGCATCTGCGGGCAACGCATTTCATGCACAGGCAACCGCTGTCACCGCCCCCGGCTCTGCCGCTGCCTCTGCCTCTGCCTCTGCTGACCTTGGCAGTCTAGAGTGTCAACAACAACAACAACAAAAACAGTAACAACAATGGCTAGCAGCAATGATACGACGCCGCTCTATTGCGGCACGGGCATGGATAATTTCCATACGAGGTAAGTCTATGGCAATGCCTGCAGTCCGAGCATTCCCCAAGGACAACGCCGACTGCACTCGGCAGGATATTTAGAAATTAAAGCACTGCCAAAATCGATTAATTGAGTGCATTGCCGCCAACCCATTCGCTTCCATTTCGACAATTTGTTTTATTTTGGGTCAAACGAGCTTTTTATGACAGCAGCAGAAGCCGCAGCAGCAGGAGCTATAAAAAAATTACATGTAATTAAACTATAAAATATGAGCAACGCAAAATATTTACTTAAATTGCATGCTCAACGCTCGTAAAACGAGAGAAATATATGAAAATAATAGGAATATCCGTAAGAGTGTGCCAATTGGAAGTGCTGGACAGGATGATACCCTGAAAGGGAATTATGCTCTTGTTGAATGAATTATAGATTGAAGAAGAAGGTTGCTTACCAAATATCGTATGAGACGACCCGACAAGACTTTTAACTGATCCTCCAGCTATATGAACAGCGGAGTATTTTAGTGAGAAACGATATATTGCCTCTACTACTTTTAGATTCATAGATAAAACTTATCAGACTCGTTTAACATATTTTTCTTTATGTCTTAAAAAATTTTAAAAATAAAAAAATAGAATAAAATTTAAACTAATTCTTCCTCATTCAAGCTTGATATTAACCAATTTCATATATAAAATCAATTTTAGCTCTAAACTCAATAGGAAATGCATTGCTCTTACTAAACACCCATATACCCCGCATTGCTCATTGCTCATCAATAGGTATAAGGGGTGAAAACGAATAAGAGTGCTCTAGTCGAGTGTGTGCCTGGCATCACATCCATATACAATAACAAAATATGTAACACACACACACATACGCACAGACATGTGCATGCACTTACATAACATACACACATACACACGCAGCATGCAGCAGCTCTCTCCCTCTCACTCTCTCTCTCTCTTCTGCTGCTGCTTGCTATAACCACTCAAAATGTTTTTGCAATATAATTTCAGTTTTTATTGTTCCGCATTTGCAAAAGTTCAGAGAAATAAGAGCTGGCATTTATGTATGTCTGTATCATGACAAGGTTAAACTAGTAAAAATTGAACTCTCTAGATTTTTATTTGCCCCTATTAAATTATATTTGATAGCACCCAGCAGGGAAATACATAAACAGAAATGAAATGAGAGTAAAAGTCAATTAATTTCAGCTGTAATAAAAAATTCATTTATTAGCCATTTAAATGCAGCGCTGATATTTGCGACTTGGCGCTCTATCAATCTAACATTGGCTAAGCATTTGAATTTTATAGTCGCTCTGCTGCACACGTGCCACACACACGCAACACACACACACATATACATACAGAGAGAAAGTGCTGTTTGTTGTATGTGTGCAGTGCAAACAAAGTTGCCTGCAATGCCAATAAAGACTGTAAGCCTGCAGCATTTGCCTACTTACAACAGAACGAATAAATTTTTCACATCCTGGCTTTTTGTTTAGTTTGCAGCCAAAGAGGCAAAAGCATTTGGAAATATTTCTAAATTTTTACGGCCCAGCTCAATGGTGACCGAAACTTTTGGGCCTCAAAAAAAAAAAAAAAAAAAAAAAAAAATGCCCGACTCCCTAACAGTTATTCATTTCACTTCATTCCATTTACCCATGTAAACCCCTAACAGTTGACCGAACCGTTATGTTTTAAGACCCCCTCTCCCTCGTTGTGTAAAAAAAAAAAAAAAACGTAAACGTACGTGGGTGCTGGGTGACCGACTGAGCCCTCAGGGTGTTGCCTTCTTCTTTGTGAGCCCTCAAATGGAGCAGCAGGAGGTGGGGGTGTGCCCTCGCCTGCTGCTGGCTGTTTGCTCAGCAAGAAATTAAACTTACATAAAAGTGTGGGGCAATCAAGCCAGTCTGACTCCAGACAGGAGGCAGCCTTAATGCGGCCACACGTTGCCATTTGGCACTCAGGTCTGCCGCACACACTCGATCCCAGTGCTGCCATAAACATATATTTGGTTTGCTTTTAAGTAAAAATCTTGATTCTTTTCTTTAGCCAACAATGCAAAGTAAACAGCAAAACAAAAGCGCTGAAAATGCTGGAAATTTGTTAAAGTTTCCTTTTCTCTCTTTTTTTCCCCTCTATTATTTACATGCCAGCATTGTTCAAAGTAATTGAAAATATTTCTAAAGTATTGAAAATAAATAGAAATAGAAATGTTCTCGTTATAGAGTGGTTATACTCAATCTGCTAATTGTAAGTGTAGATGTGCGTAAAAGTGGAGCCGAGAGCTATGCAATGATCGTAAGAGCTCTGCATATCCGAGCTAACATTGAGGCAACTATTTCTAGCTGGCCAGCCATTCAGGCCGCACTTGGATTTAATGTTCAGCTATTTGTTGAAACCTCGACTTTCCCATGAAACATTCACAGCTTGTGTTTGCCTTACGACCAGTTGGAGATTTGTAACAGCTGGCCATTTGCTGCGCCTGAGAGGACCTGAAACAGTGGGCCAGTTGTTGTACAGTAAACCTGAAATACCTGGAAATGATGCCGAATTGTTTGGGTTATGTTATGCGGCTCACAGCACAGCATTTCCAATTTTAGCATCACAAACATGTTCAGCAATGCAAAGTCTAATGCCTGGCCAGCAATTAGTAGCTGAAACAGCTTCCCAGGGACTTGAACAACATTTCCAAGGCGCTTCACATGCAGCTCATTTGGAGTTGCTCCATTCTAGCCGAGACTTTAATAAACAAAGGAATTTAATGCGTACATAAACATGGCCACATGGCCATCCATCAACGTGGATTAGCTGGAGCAATAAATTTAACTAAGCCAGGTATTCTATATTAAATGAGCAGACAAGGAAAACGCGCGCGGAATTCGCGCGCTGCGAAAGTCTTTGATGAATGTTTCTCTCAAATATGCCACTAACAAAATGCGTCAACAAAATGAAAATGCTAAAAAAAAGGAAGGTGAGCTTGTTTACCTGCAAATACGCCACATGCCTGTAGTTTGTCTAGGTATTCTCTCAAAACGACAAACACTTCCGTTGCGCTATCAATTCCTCTGCCGTCTGCCAGAGGCGGAAACGAGTTAAAAGCCATTACAAAAACTGCCTCAACGACATGATGTGACATGATGTGGGATGTGGGATGTCGGCTGTCTATCAAAATGGAATCATTTCTATTTTTACTGCTGCTGCTGCTGCTGCTTCTTCTTCTGCATCTCTTGTTCGGCTTTCTCATATGGCAAATCATTTATTTTTGACATCATTTTCGGCTGTTCTCTCCCACGGGAGTGCAATGAAAACGCTTCTCCTATTGTCACCAAAAAAAAATAAAATAGAAAAGAAAAAAGAAAAACGAGCTGTCAAATGAACACGACTGTTGATTCATGTTAATTGCTTGTTTTAAGCATGTCGCTCCGTTTGCCTTTTAGCTTTGATGTTAATATTGCGCATACGGCGCGTTGCCCTCACAGTGGACATCTGAAAGGGCTGCACTCAATGCACGTCTGTCGGCGTCTGTGGCTTTGTGCGACTGTTGACACAATTTGTCTTTCTTTCTTTCTCTTTATGCTCATGCAGTAACGRGAAATTACTATATTGGTTTTGTGCAGTGTCCGTCCGTCTGTCGATGTGAATGTAAGCCATTTCACGGCTATTAAAGCTGGAGACTTGAAATTTATATCATATACTCGGTTATACCATCGAATTAAAAGTGTCAAGACTATCTCATTTACGCCCACTGGAGGCATCTCTGGTTGAAGTTGCTAGAAAACTGAGAGCTGAGATTTACCCACAAAGATTTACGTATATCGACGTCAATTAGTGGGATAGCTAATCGAGAAAAATTGTATATTCTACAGTTTGAAAGCTTATACGCTTAAATTCCCATTGACATGCTACAGTCCATTCGATTCGTGGTGAATGAGTATTCTGCAGTCGATAAAACCCGACTGCAATGGCCTTACTTGCTGCTTTCTTTTCGTTGTCCTCTGAGCCTCTTGAGTGATGCTTGTAGTGGCTGACTAACCGAGTGTGAGTCTGTCTGGTCGTGACAACGTCTTTCCAGCGGCGTCTTGCCAATTTGGCACGTAATGGCCAAGTGTTAGATACACATCCAATTGCTACAGAAAGACAGCGAGACAGACAGRCAGTAATTTAAGCAGCCGCCCAGGCAGCCCCAATCGTCATCTTACCACACGCAAGCCTTAGGTAATTAAAGGTCACATTTACGAAGCAACATTCTTATTGCCAGACAGGTATTTGCCAGGATAAATTATTTATAGATAATCTCATTAGGTATTCCATCTGCTCATTACCTCCATCTCTGTCTCTCCCTCTCTCTCTCTCTCTCTCTCTCTCTCTCTCTCTCTCTCTCTCTTTCAGCTATAAGAACATGCACGGCTACATCTCGCTAGTGGTTTGCATACTTGGCACCATTGCCAATACCTTGAACATCATCGTGCTGACGCGGCGAGAGATGCGCTCGCCCACGAACGCGATTCTGACGGGCCTGGCCGTGGCGGACCTGGCCGTCATGCTGGAGTACATACCGTACACGGTGCACGATTATATACTGAAGGACAGTCTGCCCCGGGAGGAGAAGCTGAGCTATGGCTGGGCCTGCTTCATCATGTTCCACTCGATCTTTGCCCAGGTGCTGCACACGATCTCCATCTGGCTGACTGTGACGCTGGCCGTGTGGCGCTACATTGCGGTGGGCTATCCGCAAAAGAATCGACTGTGGTGCGGCATGCGCACCACCATAATAACCATCACCACAGCGTATGTGGTGTGTGTCCTGGTGGTTTCGCCCTCGCTCTATCTGATCACGGCCATTGCCGAATGGATGGAGCAGCTGGATGCGGACGGCAATGTGATAAAGAGCGTGCCCGTGAGCCAGTACTTGATCGACTATCGAAATGAGCTGCAAGCCGCCGCGTTTCCAACACTAAATGCCACGCCCCTCAGCCTAATGGCCAACGATACCCAAGGGCTGAACGTGAGCGTGTTGAGCACCACGCCCATGCCGACCACCGCTGTGCCCCCGCCCACTGTGGTGCGCAACGTGACCGTCTATCGGCTGTCCCACAGCGACCTGGCCCTGCACAAGCCCCTGCTGCTGAATGCCACGTTCCTGATCTACAGCGTGGTCATCAAGCTGATACCCTGCATCGCACTGACCATACTCTCGGTGCGACTCATCCTGGCGCTGCTGGAGGCCAAGCGGCGACGCAAGAAGCTGACCAGCAAGCCGGCCTCGACGACGTCGACGGCGGTGGCGTCCAGCAACGGCACCAAGACCGTGGTCAACGGCAAGTCGGCCGAGCGGCCGCGCAAGAACAGCAAAACTCTGGAGAAGGAGAAGCAAACGGATCGCACCACACGCATGCTGCTGGCGGTGCTGCTGCTGTTCCTCATCACCGAGTTCCCACAGGGCATCATGGGGCTGCTGAACACGGTGCTGGGCAATGCATTCCTGCTGCAGTGCTATCTCAAGCTGAGTAAGTGGGAACTATGTATAGCACCTCGATGGCATCTCGAACTGCGCAGCGCATAAATTCATTTGCTTTTGACTCCTTAGGTGACCTCATGGACATACTGGCTTTAATCAATTCCAGCATCAATTTCATACTCTACTGCTCCATGAGCAAACAATTTCGCAGCACATTCACGCTGCTGTTTCGCCCGAAGTTTCTGGACAAGTGGCTGCCCGTGGCACAGGATGAGCTGACGGCGACCAGGGCGGATGGGCTGCAGCGCTCGGTGGTGGCGGCGGCACCTGACAAGTGTCAGTCGATACACAAGCAGCCACAAGTGGTGACACTGGCTGCCACCACCACTACAACAACCACCCAAGTGACGAATCTGTAGCACGCAACACAGCAGCAGCTGCAAGCGCCTGGTCATGTGGCTGGCGACAATACCCGGGAGCAGAGGCCATGCCATGCCATTGTCGTCGTGGTGAACAGTGGCAGCGGTGCAGTGGATCATCGTCTGTGCAGAGGCGAAGCGTTGCCACTCACGTAGTTTCGCGGACGTAATTAGATATAGCTGATAATGTAAATGAAATTCAATAAAAATAAAGTATATATATGAATACATAAATATATATGCATATATATATTTGGTCCAAATTTACAGTTTACGGTTGAAAAGTTATTCTGTGGTGCGCACGCAATAAAAAAATGCATACATTAGGGCGTTTTGCATAGCATCAGCCAAACTTGATAGAATAACAATGCAAAGAATAAACAGATAATAATGCACATCATTCATACGCACCATTGGCTTGGCAATGACATTTTCAAAATAAAAATTCAACGAACTCTGTGTGCACATGCAAGGATGCACGCCTGTCGAGTGCAAATCAAACAGGATGACTAACCGTCTGATTAAATAATTACATTTGAATAACAAACAATGAAAAATATTGTATATATATGAACATTTATACGATTTATATTGATTAAATATTTAATTTAATTTTTATTATTACAAATAATTTGCATAGGATTCGAGATAATTTAAAAATATGTAGTACAGCTTTTTGTACTTAAGACCCTCAGCTTTTGCTACATATTAATAGCTATTAAACAATAATAATAATACAAATCTGAATTAGTTATATGTACATACATATATATACCATATAAATTGTTGAAATCAAGCGATTTTACTTAGATGCATCGACTGTTTATAAACAATACTTTTAAGTGATAAGCGAAGGCTGCATTCAAAACAAGTTGTATAAATTTAAAAATAAATAAAAT